TGTTCAAAAAAATTTTAAACCTAGTGTTTTTGTATTAGATAAAACACATTTAGGGGGTACCAGCAGGTTTTTCTCAAAAAAGTTGTTTTAAGCACCACCCTAATATATATATATATATATATATATATATATATATATATATATATATATATATATATATATATATATATATATATATATATATATATATATATATATATATATATATATATATATATATATATATATATATATTAGGGGTATGACTAAAAAAAAAATTTTAGAACTTTTTATTCCCCATGTAACCGTGAGTGGAGAAATTATTTTTATAAACATAAAATCTATCATGTCCAAAAATAGTGTTGCTTCAAACAAAAATAAGAAAGTTTGGGAATCAAATTTAGTAAGGTTTGAAAAAGCTAAAACTTCCAGAAGATGTACTACTGTTGTTAAAAGTATTAGTGAAATGAATAAGTTGCCAACAGAACAGCGTATCATTGATCGATTTAAAAGTTTTAAAAGTAGAAAGGAGAGAATTACAATTGTGGCTAAAGAAACTAAATTGCTATGGAGAAAGCTAAATATTCCTATTCAACAAGGGAAATTGGCAGCATAAAGAAAAATAGAAAATGTATTGAAAAAGCTTGACAAAGATTGTTGAAAACCCGGAACTCAAAATTTTACACGCTTGTTTGACATAACCGATGAGAAAGGTGAATGGTTGTGTCAGGAAGATAAAGAATTTTGTCTTCAAAAGTCAACAAATGGAAGAGCTGGATATTGTACCACAATTAAAGATGCTGAAGGTATTCATTCAAGAAAACTAGTGATGATAAAGAAACAAATGTCTATCAGTCAAGGACAAGATTTTGTTGAATCAGTAGTGAAGACGATCTTTTAGAAAGCAAAGAGCAGTGTTCCAGCAGTAATATTGAAGCTGAAGGTCCGTCATCATCATTTAAAAAACAAAAAACAAATTCAGCAGTAAATTTAGTGATTTCTGCAAAGATTAGTACCAAAAAAGCACATAAAGTATGTAAAACTCTCTCAGAAAGTGGTATTTCTATTTATACTCCAACGCAAAGTGGTATTTACAAAGGTGTTATGAAAGAAGGGGAAAAGTTGAAAGTAAATTATATGGAAAACCTAAAAAATGAAAAGTGGTCTTTGCACTTTGATGGAAAACACATAAAGAAAATGGAATATCAAGTAGTTGTTTTGAAAAATGAAAATAGAGAGGTTTTGCTGTTCTGGAGCTGATGAATGGAAAAAGTGAAACAATATATAATGGGATGTGCTATATATATAATATATATATATAGATATATATATATATATATATATATATATATATATATATATATATATATATATATATATATATATATATATATATATAGATATATAATAGCATGTGCTAGATGAATATGAGCTGTGGCCAGCCATAAAAAAAGATCCTATCTGACACAACATCTACAAATGCAGGATTAAGAAATGGTGTAGTTACACGGTTACAGAAACATTTTAAAACCATTGGACTAGTTAAGCCTGTTTTTATTGGATGTCAACACCATATTCTAGATACTCTTTTAAAACATGTCATGAATGATCATTTTGAAGGATCAACAATGTCACCATATCTCCATTACCCTTTTTGTGACAAAGTTGCAGCAAGATTACGAGAACTTGAAGTTACTATTTTGTAATATTGGAAATCCTTAGTTGAAATTGAAGCGAACTCGCTGGAGAGATGACATGGATTTCCTTATTGTTCTGCATAGATATTTTTCAAATATCTATGCAGAACAAGACTAATTGCCATTATGCCATAGAATAGAAAAACTAAATATTAAACAATTATTGTCAAATACACAGTAGACAAATTTTAATTAAACATGTTTATTGGTTTCTGTAAAGTAGTGGAAGATGTGTTGCAAAACTACATTTTTTTAATTTTTTTATAAATATTTTTTAATTAGGGGGTGAACTTTTTTGACATGTAGTAAAAATGCTTGTTATTTTTTTTGATTTTTGAACAAAAACTCCACTAAATTTAGTATGGGGATACAGAGTTGCAAAATTGTCATATCCCTAATATATATATATATATATATATATATATATATATATATATATATATATATATATATATATATATATATATATATATATATATATATATATATATATATATATATATATATATATATATATATATATATATATATATATAACAGTATATATATATAACAGTATATATATATAACAGTATATATATATAACAGTATATATATATATAACAGTATATATATATATATATAACAGCATATATATATATATATATATATATATATACATATATATATATATATATATATATATATATATATATATATATATATATATATATATATATATATATATATATATTACGGCATTGGCTAAAAGCTCATCAAACAAAAGATGCAAGTTCTGCGGTGTCTATCGAATTGTATAATGAGTAGCCTTTGAACGCCATAGTTCCTCTAAAGCAAATTAAAGACTCAAGATTTGTATAGAAGCTAAGCAGTTAAAAAAAATATTTTAATTTTTAATATGTGTATTATTTGTATGAATATTTAAACGTTATTACAATGATTATTACAACAAATTTGGTTTTCTGTGTTATTATGAAATCAAGTTGCTTCATTTATCACGAAAAAAAATTATTCAAACATATTTGGAGAAAAAATCAATGTATTAGTTTTAATGAACATTAAATATAAAATAGTAAGCACGTGCTTATCAAATGAATCAAAATTGTAAAAATTCTTATATACAATAATATTACCAAGCTAAACCAATGTTAGAATTCGACACTCGCCCAATGTCGGATGTCAACATTGGGCCAACATTAGCTCAACGGTTAGATGCGACATCAAACCAACTTCCAAATCCACATTGTGACGACATCAGTTTGCCCATCGGCCAACGAATTTTTTGACGTTGATCCGACGTTGGGCCAACATTAATGTGCTAGCTGGGTATATATATATATATACACATATATATATATATATATGAATATATATATATATATATATATATATATATATATATATATATATATATATATATATATATATATATATATATATATTTGTATATATATATATATACATATATATATATATATATATATATATATATATATATATATATATATATATATATATATATATATATATATATATATATATATATATATATATATATATATATATATATATATATATCAAAATGTGTGTAAAATATCTCAAAAATTTACCTCTTTTAACTTTACAAATGTATCCATTTGTTTTATAACAATTTTGAACATTCCAGCCATCAGCATTTATTTCCACACATCTTGTTATTTCTGTACTTAAATAGTATGATTCTGCACTTGTAAGCTTTAATATGCTCTCAAAAGGTATTTTTGGGTCCCACTTAAAATTATCAGACCAGACAAACTTCTTATGACTCATGCGATAATTAAGGCCTTGAAAATAAAATATCAACAATTACAAATACATTTTTTTAGATAAAATGATTATATATATATATATATATATATATATATATATATATATATATATATATATATATATATATATATATATATATATATATATATATATATATATATATATATATATATATATATATATATATATATATATATATATATATATATATATATATATATATATATATATATATATATATATATATATATATATATATATATATATATATATATATATATATATATATATATATGCAGGCACGAAAATAAGTTTCTTCTAAAAAAATATAAAAACAAGTGAGCTCAAATAATAGTTACATTAACTCCCCTTTGAAAAAAAAATATTATTTTTTAAAAAAGCTTAAGTAATCATTTCTAAAGAATTCTTTTTACAATAGTGTCAGCAAATTACACAAATGTTTGAAAAATTGCAGTAGTTAAGACATGTGACTTCCTGTAATTTAATTTTTGGTATAAATTGAAGTTTTATTAATTTGATCATTCATTTCTGATGAGTCTTTATTGATGAAACACAGTGTTAAATGAGAAAAATTTTGCAAAGTGATTTTCTACTAATTTGTAATTGCTCTGTTCTTTTAAGAACGTTGAGCACTCTTTTTGTAGAATACATTTTAAATTGTTTAAGTATATATATATATATATATATATATATATATATATATATATATATATATATATATATATATTTATATATATTATTATAATATATGTATATATATATATATATACATATATATATATATATATATATATATATATATATATATATATATATATATATATATATATATATATATATATATATATATATATATATATATATAATGAATTTTTCCATGCATTCGCTTAATCAAATTTTAAAATAATATATTTTTTGTAAAAACTATGGACCACACACTTATATTGTATATGCCTGTTGTCTTTCTAATTTTCGAGATAAATCTAAAATCATTATTACTGCCCCTTTCATCAACATTATGATGCTGTTGTAATGTTATAATGTATATATTATATATATATATATATATATATACATATAAATATACATATATATATATATATATATATATATATATATATATATATATATATATATATAAATATATATATATATATATATATATATATATATATATATATATATATATATAACGTGCATTGCTGTATCAATATATATCACGAAAAATAAAAAATATATATATATATATATATATATATATATATATATATATATATATATATTATATATATATATATATATATATATATATATATATATATATATATATATATATATATATATATATATATAATATATATATATATATATATATATATATATATATATATATATATATATATATAGGCTTACCATACATCCCGTTTTGACCGGGATTGTCCCGGTTTTATGCCATTTGTCCCAGCGTTTTAATAATTTTTGTTTTGTCCCGTTTTCGGAAAAAAAGAATTTTTTGTTTTATTTTGTCCGAAACAAAATTTATGATTTTGAATTTTGAAAAAAAAGCAGACAACGAAAACCATATTGTTTGATACTAATACAATAATATATATAGCTTATTATATATAGCAATATTAATATTTATAGCTTCAGCAGATTGTTCAATATGCTCTCATTTTAGTACATGATCAAATTCAATCTATGCAAATATATATGATCTAATATAGATTGGCAGGAGCATCTGCACTTGTAGAGCATATTTTTTTTATCATAAAAAATATTTGTTGAGATGACCGAGGTCTTTTGAAGGAGTTCATGGTACGTGCATTGCTGTACTGCAAGTTAAACTTTAGCTTTTTTATGAAAAAATTTAAATAAATTATAACTTGCTAGAAAAAGTACATTCTACTGAAAAGTATAACTTGTATAAAAACAGTGAATAGTTTTTTTTTCATGTTTTTTTTTGTTGGATTTAACAAATATCAAAAAAATATTTTGGTTTTGTTTCTTTGCTTTAGATAGCCCTTCTTCAGCTGAGCAATGAAGCACTTCCTTTTTTATATAAAGACTTTCATGAAACCTTATTACAGGGTGCCATGCTTTTTGAAGCACAAAAAAACACTACTTTTCTCCTCCTCCTCTCTCTCTGGTCATTTATTTCAGCATTTTGCAACAACCTCTCCCCTTCCCCCTCTTCCTCTACATACACACTTATACTGATACCTTTTTCTATTCAACTCCCTTCGTTGCCACAATCCCCGAGTGTCCCGGTTTATAACTTCAAAATTATGGTAAGCCTATATATATATATATATATATATATATATAAATATATATATATATATATATATATATATATATATATATATATATATATATATATATATAAATATATATATATATATATATATATATATATATATATAAAATAATAATAATAATAATAGTAATAATTAGAAATTAAAGTGGCATAGTTTGACAACAATCATAAATATGATGAAGTGATTCAGAAGCACTAATAAACAAGCATTGTTTAGGTCGAGTAAACAGCTTCGGAAAGTTCGGTTTTAGTTATATAAATTATGACAGACATTTTGTAAATTATTCTTTGACGTATTGGTAACCAATAGAGCGAATGAAGCTATTTTTCAGATTGTGAATAGAAAGGAGAGTGACAAACAACACGAGCTAACTTATTTTGAATATGCTGAAGTTTTTTTAGATTTTTTTGAGTAGTTCCAATTAAAAGACTGTTACAGTAATCAAGTCGAGAGTTTACAATTCCACAGGCATTTATTTTTGCAGCACATTTGGTAAAAAATGGATAAATATAATGAAGTGTGCAAATATGGTAGTTGCAGGATTTTATAATATCCTATACGTGCTGGTTCATAGAGAGTGTTGAATCTAAGGTAATACTGACAATTTTTACCAAATTTGATGCAGCAAGAATGGCACCTGAGAATAAAAATTAGGTTTGTCTTTATATTTAAATGTTTGATTACTGGTTTCAAATAAGATGTCTTCTGTTTTTTTTTTGATTAAACAGTAGTCAACTTTCAAGAAACCATGTGGTGACTACATTTGCACAGTTAAGCATTATCAGCATTTTGATGGTGATTATATCCAAGTTTAGCAATAATTCAATTTATGGGAGACACAAACATGGAAAATAGAAACAGGTCAATAACACTACCTTGTGGTACTCCAGTTGAAATATCTGAGATTGATGATTTTGTTGTTCCAATAGAATTAAAAGTTTTTTGATTATGAAGGTATGAAGACAGCCATTCGAATGCAGTTCCTATGATACCAAATTCGTTTTTTGCATGTTATGTTAGTATTTTGTGATCAACAGAATCAAAGGCTGCTGATATGTCTAGAGAGAGGAGTATAGTAGTAATACATTATCAATGTTTGATAGGATGTCATTGCAAATCTTGAGGAGTGCTGTTTCAGTAGAATGATTGCGTCTGTAACCAGATTGTAATGGGTTGAAATTTACAGAGAAAGTTACATGAAGAAGTCTAGATAAAACAAGCTTTTCAAGAATTTTAAAAATAGTATTCAGATTTGATATAAGGCGAAGATTGATAGGATCAAAATTTGTTTGATCTGGGTTTTAGGGAATCGGTGTTATTTGAGCAATCTTGTATGAGGCTGGGAAAATTGCAGAATTAAATGATAAGTTAACTTATTGTTTTTAACCGAGTACATGCTGTGCTGTACGACACTTCTTGTTTGTTGTTATTTAAGTAGTTTCTGAACCATCTTAGATTGTTGTTTGTTACTCCATACATCTCTAGTTTGTGTAGGAGAATCTTGTGGTTAACTGTATCAAATGCTTTTGTTAAATTGATAAACAAGGCTAGAGTATATTCATTATTTTCGAAACCATTCAAAATTTTATTGACTAATTCAATTATTGCATCATATGTTGAATGACTCTTGCGAAAACCAATTATTTGTTATACAGAATGTTATTTGTTTCAAGATAGTTGTATAATCTATTGTACATAACAAATTCGAGAAGCTTTGAAAAACAAGAGAGTATTGATATAGGCCTATAGTTGGATGCTAAAGAGTTGCCGCCATTTTTATAAATAGGGACTACTCTTGCTATTTTTAATTTATCAGGAAAAACACCAGTTTTTAAAGATAAGTTGAATAATGTTAAAAGAGGCGATTCAATAATATCAAATACTGATTTCAAAGCACTTGCATTGATTTCGTCGATTCCTGGACTGTTGTTGGTTTTTAGTAAATTTAAGGCTGTTCGATGTTCATTCGAGGATATTTTAAACTCATTTATAATTGAGTGTTTTTTTTTTAAAAAGACAAACGTTTTGTTTCCCGCAATTATTTTTTCGGCTAAATTTTTTCCAATGTTTATAAAAAATTCATTAATCAGCACTATTCTCTTTACAAACAAAAATGAACACAGATGTCAAAAACATCTGTGTTCATTTTTGTTTGTAAACGCTTTGGAGAAACAGTATTTATGTTTAATTTCTTTTAACCAGTTACTTCTTTTATTATATCCCATTTTTTTGTAGCATTATCTATTGAATTTTCGAGCAGATTGGAGTAATAGTTTTTTTTTATTTGTTTTTTTAATTTTTCAAAATAGTTTTTGTATTTTTTATATTTAGTTTCATTAGTTAAAGTTTTATTTTTTTTTTTTAATTATCATAGAGCTTCTGTTTTTTTATGAAGATTTTTTAAGCTCTTTTGTCATTCAAGGGTTACGCAGGTTTTTAGAATGAATTGTTTTATTCTCTTTGGAAAAGCTTTTTCGTATTGTTTAAAAAATAAGCGTATAAAAAGATCATAAGCATTATTCGCATCATTGCACTCAGCTATGAGTTCTTAATTGGTTTCATGTATCAAATCGCGAAATTTTTTTATAGAATTGTTGTTTCTTTGTCTGACGTAGGTGGTAGAGGAATTATTATCTTCAATAGTTAAGCGATTGATTGTAAGAAAACTTTGA